CTTTTCAGGAATGCGTGACGGCCTTCCTCCTGATCCTGTGTGTTTTTCCACTTCCTCATAGGGAGGAGCTGTTGTACTGCACTTAAAAGCTACAGAGCCACGCCCAGGTGAATAAGGCGGGACGGGGCCATATCTCTCTTCCTCATATTTTGCAGCTTCCTCATCTAACTCTGCCTGCTCAGCAGGGTCAAGACCCGACTCCTCAGAGTCAGATGACTCCTGCTCATCCTCCCCTTCAGAAGAAGATGATAGAGTGCAATTTTTGAACTCAGTGAGGAGCGGATATAATTTAGGTTTTTCATCCTCATCCTTTTTTTCTTGCGGGGTTGGTAAGAGTTGCAATCTTTTTGCCTTATCTTCAAGCTCCTCTTCCTTCTTTGCAAGTTGTGCTGCCCTTTTTTCTAACTTAGCTAGCTTGGTTAACACATCCTTGTTCTCATGACTTTTCTTTTCTTTTTTCTTAGAAGGCTTCTTCCTTTTATTAGCCTCTTTACCCTTTTCAGCTTCTGATACACTATCCTGATGGTCTGACAAGACCCGCTGGCCTTCCTTGATCTTTTCTTTGCACCTCTCATCCTTAATGCACGATTTGAACAATTTATACAGTGGCCATACCCCTGGTCTTAGGGTCCCCTGTTCCTTTTCTCGTGTCAGATCCCCACTTAGCTTGCTCCATGATCCTTCCGTAAGGGACCCGGAGAGAACGAACCAGGGAGCCACTCGATCTACTTCTTTGAGAAAGTTCTGCAACACCCGATCTGGGACCTTAAGCTCCTTCTGTTTCAACAGCGCCCGCGCTGCTTCTAGAAGCGGCTTATTCCATTGCTCCTTTATCTACAGGGGAGGGCGTGGCAACTCAGTTATCCACTTGAGGATTACAGCCAAATTATGCAGTGTCGCAAAAAGGACGAATACAAACCGTATCCCGTTTCCCACAATTAAGACACAGACAACAGAAAAGAACGAAAACGAGACTAACAACGAGAAACGGAATCACCCAGACCACAGAAATCATACCTTGCTGAAAAGTCTCCGGAGTTTCTCAGGTCACTGGCTTGGATCCTCTTTCCGACGAGCAGTCGGGGTCCTCAAAGCTGTCCCTCTACCCGGGTTCGGCGGCTTCCCGGGTTTCGGCACCACTTGTCGCGCGCAGCCTTCGCCGATAAGGATGACGCGGCAACCGAGGAGTGTCCAGCAACAACTTTATTGTTACAGCTCTTTTAGCAGATGGTGAAGGAAGGACCCAGACCCCGGGTTGTGCTCTGCTTAAATAGCCAGTCAAGGCGACGTGTTCGTCTGTGATTGGTGCTCCACACAAAACCTGATTAGCATATGATCCCTAATTGGAGGACCACATAAGCCTACATTAGCATAAGGTGGCACATGCGCAGATCGCAAAGCCTTTGGCGGGAACCGCTCCCGCCAAAGCAATGCTGGCAAGAAGAACCAGGAAGCAGGAGACCGGCGCCACCTTGTAGTGGCGGGAGCGGCTCCCGACAGCCACATCCAGGGCTTTGGATTGGCCCACCCCAACCTCTATCCCATCCATGAATTGTGGAGTTCATGAAGGGGCCAGCCCCACAGATCTAAAACTATAGGATCTCCATGACACAGGACAACAAGAAGATATCTGAAAAGAGTCCTTGTGTGTTCCAGTATTGCTTTAGTGTAGAAGAAGCAGAGACCTCCTACCAGACTAATGAGTCATTACAACAAACATTTGCAAGCAAAGAGTGTGAACAAAATGGTAGACTGTGGCACACACTGACACACTAAAGCGTCCATAACGAGATTGTTCTTTTCTCTGTTGGGAGGGAGGTTGCAAGGATGGAGGGTGAGAATGAGGGGAGAGGGAGATGAGTGGGATTGGGGTACGTGATGCAAAATTCACAAAGAACCAATAAAAAAACTTTTTAAGTAAATAAAATAATCTCATGTCAACATAACCTCAAAAAAGAAAACACACATACTATGACCATCACCGTCAACAACAAAATAACAGGAATTAACAATCATTGGTCCTTGATATCCATGTCAATGAACTCAATTCTCCAATTAAAAAAAAAAAAACAAACAGAATGGATTTTTTTAAGATTTATTTATTATGTATACAATGTTCTACCTGCATGCCAGAAGAGGGCACCAGATTTCATTATAGATGAGTAGAAGCCACCATGTTGGGAATTGAACTCGGGACCTTTGGAAGGGCAGCCAGTGCTTTTAACCTCTGAGCCATCTCTCCAGCCAGAATGGATGTGAAAACAGCAACCATTCTTCTTCTGTACATAAGAAACACACCTCAACACCAAAGATAGACATTACCTCAGAATAAAAAGTTAGAAAAAGATTTTCCAAGCAAATGGTCCCAAAAAAGAAGCTGGTGTACCTATTCTAATATCTAACAAAATAGACTTCAAACTAAAATTAATCAAAAGAGATGGGGAAGGACACCTCATCTCATCAAAGAGAAAATCCACCAAGATGACATTTCAATTCTCAATATCTATGTCCCAAATGCAAGGACACTCACATTTGTAAAGGAAATATTACTAAAGCTAAAATCATATATCAACCCTCCCCTGTTGATAGTGGGAGACTTCAATACCCCACTCTCACCAATAGACAGGTCACCTAGACACGAACTAAACAGAGAAATTATGAAGCTAACACATGTTATAAACCAAATAGATCTAAGAGAAATCTATATACAACATTTCACCCAAACACCAAAGGATGGGCCTTCTCAGAACCTCACAGAGTATTCTTTAAAACTGACCACATACTTGGTCACGAAGCAAGCCACAACAAGTACAAGAAAATTGAAATAACCCCCTGCGTTCTATCAGACCACTACAGATTAAAGCTGGATTTCAACAGTGACAGAAACAGCAGAAAGACTAGAAACTCATGGAAATTGAATGTTTTAGTTTGGGTTGCTGTTTCTGTGAAGAGACACCGTGACTACAGCAACTCTTACAAATAAAAACATTTAATTGGGGCTGGTTTATACTTTCAGAGGTTTATTTCATTATCATCACGGCAGGAAATATGGCGGGCTGCAGGACGACATGGTGCTGGAGGAGCCGAGAGTTCTACGTCTTGATCCACAGGCAGAGAAGGAGGCTGTGTGCCACACTGGGGATGAGCGTAGGACACCCCAGAGCTCAGCTCCACAGGGACACACTTTTTCCAACAAGGCCACAGCGTCTAACAGTGTCATTCTGTATGGGCCAAGCATTCAAACACATGAGTCTATGGGGGCCATACCTATGCAAACCACCACACTGAATAACACTCTACTGAATGATAACTGGGTCAAGGCAGAAATAAAGAAATTAAAGACGTCCTAGAATTCAATGAAAAGAAATGCACAGCATACACAAACTTATAAGACACAATAAAAGTGGTACCAAGAGTAAAGTTTATAGCACTAAACACCTTCATACAGAAATTGGAGAGATCTCATACTAGCAACTTAACAGCCCATCTGAAAGCTCTAGAACAAAAAGAAGCAAGCTCTTCCAAGCAGAGTAGCTGTCGGGAAATAATCAAACAATAAAATGGGAACAAAGAACAAAAAGAATCAGTGAAACAAAGAGTTAGTTCTTTGAGAAAATCA